TGTATACTTTGTTTGTAAACACTTATTGTTTCATTGTTTTTTTAATTTATAAATAAAAATAAATTAAAATTTTGTTTTATTTCAGTTTTTATTTATTAAAATAAATAAAACAAATGATAGCACCAGCAGCAGCAGCAACAGCAACACCATCGAGCTGCCTATACACCCCGTGGCTCTGCTGCTGCTCTCTTATTTTCTCTTTTTTTTTGTTTTTTTTTTGTATCTTCTGCTGTTTTTTTTATTTTTATTTCACTCTTGCTGCTGAAATACACCCCTGCTGCTGCTCCTGCTGCTGCTGCTGCTGCTGCTGCTGCTGCTGCTGCTGCTGCTGCTGCTGCTGCTGCTGGTAGATCTGTTGCTGCACGAGAGCGATGCTGTGCTGTATACAGCAGCAGCAGCAGATATATATTTATATTTATATTTATTTATATTTATATTTATTTATATTTATTTATTTATTTTAATATATTTAATTATATATATATATACATATTGTCTCCTCTTTTTGTTTATACAGCTGAGCCTCGATGGTAGCTGCAGGCGAATCCAGCTGTTGCTGTTTCTTTATAAAAAAAATAAAAAAAAATAATTAAATATAATTATAATAATAAAATATTTTTTTTTTGCTGCTGCTGTATATACGCCCTCTGCTGCTGCTGTTTTATAGTGTAGACTCTTAAGAGGAGACAGAAAAAGAGACAGAAAAGGAGACAGAAAAAGGAGACAGAAAAGGAGACAGAAAGAGAGACAGAAAAGAAAGAGATAGAAAAGAAAGAGACAGAAAAGGAGACAGAAAGAGAGACAGAAAAAGAAACAGAGAAAGAAACAGAGAAGAAAGAGATAGAGAAAGAGACAGAAAGAGACAAAAGAGAAAGAGATAGAAAAAGAAACAAAAGAGAAAGAGATAGTAAAAAAAGAGACAAAAGGGAAAGAAGAAAAAGAGACAGAAAGGAGACAGAAAGGAGACAGAAAGAGAGACAGAAAGAGAAACAAAAGAGAAAGAGACAGAAAAAGGGAGAAATGAGACAGGCTCAATCTTCTTTGTTTTGTCTCCTTTCTTCTGTCTCCTTTTTTTGTCTCCTTTTTCTGTCTCCGTTCTTTTGTCTCCTTTTTCTGTCTCCTTTTATTTGTCTCCTTTTGTTTGTCTCCTTTTACCTGTCTCCTTTCTTTTTTCTTTTTATTTTTTCTCTATTTATATTTATACAGCTTTGCATTGATATATGTCCATAAATAAACACATGTATATAAACATATACATATATACATATATATACATATATATATATATATATATATATATATATATATATATATATATATATA